GAAACCACTTTGCGGGCCGCCCCGGGCCTTGTGTTTGACATGTCTGCTCTAAATTAATTGCTAGGAAAAAGGACTGATTGATTGATGAGCATAGGTGAGACAATATTATATGAAAAGGGCAGGAAAATAGGTGATCATAAGAAAAAATGTAAACCATTCATCCCTTTTTCTTTTCATTGTAATAAGCCATACTTTTATTTTACCTTTTGCATTGCATAAGCTTCTTTAAATTCATACTTTATGGTTATGTCGTAAGGTTTGTCTACCTATCAAATACTATCTTTTTTTTGGGGGGGGGGGGAAGATAACCAGCACATCATTCCTGAAATTTGTGTGAACGGAAGCAGTCTATAGTAGCAACTGACAGCACTGCATTTGATGTTAGACCCTTAATTTCAATAGTCTCTTAGAAAGATATATTTCTTTATTTTGCCAAAACATGTCAATAATAAATCTTACGGTCTTTTGACAAAAATAAATATGAACAAAATATACTGATCCCTCAGTGCAATTTTATGCTTGCAAGATCACTATCTGAATTTGATATCCTCTTACATGCTGTAAATAACTTTATAAGTGACACACTGAAGGGCTTCAATGGTATATGGAGGTAGAGTCTTGTTCCTGATGGATAGAAGGTGAAGAAGCCATTCTGATAATAGGTGTCTGGATGCTATATCATCTTTAAAGAACCATTAAGTATCTGATACTTCAATAATAGATACTTCAGAGCACACAAAAGGGTCATACAAACCTTGCCAATTGGCCACTATCATGTTGTCATAATTAATTCTTGATGTGGTATCAAAGGGAGAAAACTATCAGAAGTAAAGTGAAGCCAGAAGAAGTTCTACTAGAGTTTGGACTTGTAGGGTGTGCTCTACATCAGTTGGAACTACAGCAATGTGGGAAGTTATGCTGGAATGTAAAGCATGGAGTACAGGAGACATTTCTATTGCTATGCTATAGAAAAGTCAGGGGATCACTCTCCTGGTTATGCCTATCCAATCCTGAAGTTACCATTGGAACTTTCAACCTTTTAACCTATTGACTCCATATATACATCCCATTGTCTTCTCGATACTACTTACCTCCTGACTCTGCACATTATAGATGTTGCTAGCTATGAACAATCCTTTTTTACCTGATGCTTTGTGCATTTAGAGTACATTGTTAGAAGGAGCTGCTTCAGTGGTCCTTGTCCTGGCTGTCCCCACTTTCCCAAAACACTGATTGTTTCCTTCAGAAGAGTTGTCAGCCCTGAATAGTGAGCGAAATCTACTACTAAATCCACTGATTAATTGTTCTAACTGTTAGGAAATTTCTTCTTAGTTCTAGGTGGGTCCTCTCCTTGATTAGTTTCCATCTATTGTTTCTTGTCCTGGCTTCAGGTGCTTTGGAGAATAAATTGTCCCCTTTTTCTTTGTGGTAGCCCCTTAGATATTAGCAGACTGCTATCATGTCACCCCTTCTTTTCATTAAACTATTATGAAATTATGATGCTGCTTAAATATTTCTGCAGTTTTTAAAAACTTTAGATGTCCTCCATCATGTCTGTGTAAACAATAAGCCAGTTTAGTCTAGTGGTTAAAGCACCAAATTAGAAACTATGGGGGACTATGAATTCTAGTCCCCCTGTCGGCATGAAAGCCAGCTGAATGGCCTTGAGCCAATCACTCTCTAAACCACGGGTGTCAAACTCGCTGCATTACCTGATGTGTCGCGACGTATCGCAACTTTTTTTGTATTGCCGAAGCTGGAGTGGGCATAGCCTCCGTATGATGCAACCGGCCCATGGGCCGGCAGTTTGACACCCCTGCTCTAAACCATCTCACAGGGTTGTTGTGGGTAAAACAGGAGGAGGAAGGAGTATTAGGTATGGTCACCTAAATGAGAAGTTTGGATGGGAAATAAGGAAGTCAAGGAAGTGGATTGTTCCAAATGGGCCATTGAGATCTATGTGATTAGATAGAAAGATTTGTGCCTTTGTCAGTATGCCAACACTACATCACTCCTAGTTTTACCATGCCGGCATTGAGTTTAGATACCTACTGTTAACTTGTGCCTTTAATAATATTAGTGCTATTACAAAGGAGAGCTGATGTCAAAACAAGCTGATAATTGTAAGGAATGCAGCAAGTCTCAATCTCATTTCATTTTTTTATTATTTAACAGCAGGCCAGATTACAGTAATCAGCTTGAAATGGCATATAGCAATATTTTGAGTAATACATGCTTAATGTTATTGCTGTTAACAATGCTTAGGATATGAGATCCATGGCTCAGTTATTAATAATTTTTAAAAACTCTAGACAAGGGAAAAGTGAGTAAACTCTTTAAAATGTCATGAATGCATTCAGGCAGGAGTTAGTTTTACATGCTTAACTGTTTAGTAGTAGAATATTTAAAACACGAGTGAAATACTGTAGTAAAAAGTACACTGATGGATGAATAAATTTGAAAGTGAGAAAGGAAAATATTAGAGATAAGACTAGATCTGAATTTCATTTCCAGTAGCAACAAGAGATATTGGAGTGAATAACATTGGTTGGTGAGGATACAAATTAGGGAAGGAGGAAGGAGAATACAAGAGGTTTAAAACTTATCAGAACAGTTTTGTGGAGAGAGATTGTGGAAAGAGGAGATTTTCGTTCAAGTGAGTCTTGACTCCTGGCAACTGCCTGGACAAAACCCAGGGCTTTTTTTCTCATAGAACGCCCAGAACGGAGTTCCGGCACCTTTTTTGGATGGAACCTTGTAGGGTAGGCAAGGCGGGTTGTATAACGTGTGTGCGTTCCGGCACCTTTTTTTTTTTTTTTAGAAAAAAAGCACTGATAAAACCCATGATGTTTTCTTGGCAATCTCTTCAGAAGTACTTTGCCCTTGCCTCCTTCTATCTAGAGCTGAGAGAGTGACTTACCCAAGGTCACCCAGCTGGCTTTCTGCCTTGAGCAGGACCAGAATTCACTGTGTCCCAATTTTTAGCCTGTTGTCTTAATCACCACACCAAACTGGTGCTCTCAGAAGTTATATCAGCTTCAAATTAGGTTTGGATGAAAGTTAAGAATATTTAAATAGAGGAAGAAGACTCTTTATCATGTGCTTTAATTAGTCCAAAGTTGCAGTAGCTAATTTTGTCACTTTAATGACCAACGCATCTGCATACCATCAATTCTAGGTTCACCAATTTAAAATGCAAAGACTGATGTTTTACAGTGCTTAAGGATTTAGAGCTTTTCTTTAGACTTGAATAGTTTTTACAGGATAAAAGATGTCTCACAAATGAATCATCTTTGTGCATAAAGGTAAAGTCTCCTACAAGTCAAACTTAGCTCCTGGTCAATTCATGGATTTTGTTTTTGTTTTTAGTAGCAGGATTTGCAATTGCACTAAGTGCCAATGTACAGTATTCTGGACAGATTTCAAATTGTGTTGTTCTATCAGTCACTACAAATCTGTCAGGCACAAAGAATCTGAGATGTTAAGTTCTAGTTTAAAAGATTTATTGCTCAAGCCTATACACAAACATTTAGTCTACTAATGGTCAGCACTAAATTAGCACCAGATAAGAGCCAACTGAATTTTGGGGAGGGGGGGCTGGACTTGGAGTGTTTGTAGACATGTAATGATTCTAGGCTAAGTATTCTCTTAATTACACACACACACACACACACAAACACAAACACACACACACAGAGAGCTCTCCCTCTTCTTCTCCTACACCATCCAACTGTAACATTGGAATATTAATCTGAATGCACCACATAATAGAGGATAATAATTCCAAGAAAGAGGCTCATCTAAAATGTCAATATTCTAAGGAGAAGATGACATAACTCTGTATTACTTGTATATAAATTTCAAGAAATTTTATAAAACTAATCTATGCAGATTTTTGATGCTCATATCTTTGTAAAAGCCATCTTCAGAACTGGTGTATTTTGAGATTTCTGGTAAGAGATCAGTTTGATAGGGAGTCACTGAATAACAATATCTGGGTCAAAAAGAAAGGCATATAATTGGTGGCCATTTTTGTGACTATTAGATTCTATGTATTTCCTATACTAAGGACATGGTAATATGGTAATATTTATTACAATGGCTTTTTTATCTATGAAACTCTAAAGGTTGCAGATATGAGCACATTTACTGTTCCATCACAACCTATACATTATTCCCTAAACAGTAACTTAGTAAAACCACTGCATTTCTGTTTTGTACTTCAGAAGTTTCTAAGTAACAAGTGATATGGTATCCTTATTCAGTTAATTTTTGAATCAACAAAACTGAATTTACAGACATATATCATTGTATCTTATTTGCTCTCTCAGTTTTGGTATAGGATAAAGGATATAGGAGATAGATAGTCAGTAATAACCAATCATCATAATTTCTAAAACCAAAAAGTAAGCAAACTTTACATTTAAAGTTATAATCTGGGAGTATCAATTCATCACACTTTTCATGTAGATTAAGAAAATGTGGAAATGTTGTAAGACAGTGTGGCTTACAAACTAAATTTTTACCTTGTCCATCTATAAACCAAGATCCTTTGTAATATTTTTTCCTGATTTCTGTTAAAAATATTTTAGTTAGTAATACAAAGCATGTGATAAATGTTAGACTATCAGTTTAATTTGTAGATTCCACTGCATGCCCCCTTTTGTAAATAGAATAGATAAAAAATGTCAAGGAGATATCAAGTCAGATTGTAAATTCACAGATGAAGTTTGTCAGGTGCCAATAAGCACAGAAGAGTTTATTATTGATACCTGTATAATTGGTGCTAGATAAAAGTCAATGGAATTCACGGGGTAATGGACTTGAGTCTCTTGTAGCAACACAATGACTCTAAACTTAATGACATTTTTAACTCCACCTTCCAGTTCAGCCTTCTCTTCTTCAAAGTTTTGACTGCCATGTATTTTCTTCCATTAACTATACTAGTTTGTTCTTATCATGCTATCTTTGTCATTATAGGCCTTCAGGTGGTGTTAAATTCCATTATCAAGGCCATGGTCCCATTGCTGCACATTGCCCTGCTGGTGCTGTTTGTCATAATTATCTATGCCATCATTGGGTTGGAGCTCTTCATGGGAAAGATGCACAAAACCTGCTACTTAACAGGGATTGCCACAGGTAAGTAATGTGCTGAAGTGACCTCCATTTTGGCATAGCCTTTAATATATGTGGAAGATGGATGTAATGTGTAACAATGCCATGCAAACGTGATAATCAACTAACACTTAATATTACTTACCGGTACTCTGGTTTGACCTCTTTGAATTCAGGGAGAAATTTCCTAGAAAGAAGGGATCTTCAGTGGCAATATCCAAGCTATGGAAACTTCTAGAAAATATTTACCATCTTTTAAACAGAAGTTGGTCTATTCTTTTGTGTTATGTTTTAAAAGAATAAAGATTCTTTAAATAAGATTTTAGTAGGATATGTAGATGTTTGGAATTTGACTGAAATCTGATTTCTGAATTGGCAAGTTGGGTATTTTTTTAATAAATTAGATGAATTTGGGTTACTTCTGTAAACATTTACAAGCTCCCCCCCCCCCCCGTTTCTATAGTATTTTCCATGAGATGGATCCTTGCCATTGGCATTTAAGGTATGAAGTTTATCCTAGAGACACTGATTTTGTCATTAGCTTGCTTATTGGTTTGGATTCAAGTTGGCAATACTGAAAACAACAACTATCATATTCTACTATTAGGGCAGTTACTGTTCATAAATGTTAGTGATAATTGTTTACTTGTTATATTTATGCCCTGGAGGACTTTGATAGACTCCTGATGGTTTATATCCATAAAACGGAAACATATAAAACACTTTAAACCAAAGATTAAAATAATTCTAACATAAAAATGCAGCACAAAATACCATAATAATTATCAAGAAATAAAAATACAAATGGTGATGATTATTCCTCAGTATACCAACATCCTCCATAATCATTCTGTTATGATGAAGTCATTAATTTGGCCTTTAAGCAGAAAGAACTAACATCCAAAATATGGAACTAAAGGACAAGACAGAAACGGACTATTTTGGAATCTGGGACAAATTTTACTGCTGGTACGAGTCAAGATGAACTGTTCGGGTTTTGAGTTAAAGTTTAAGTCTGTGGTATATAAAATTATATGTTAATATACAGAGAAACAAACTCGAGATTGTATAATATTGTATTACATAGGGGAATATGGATGGGGAGGAACAGACTCAGACTCAACCCTTCCAAGACCGAGTGGCTGTGGATGCCAGCGCCTCGGCATAGTCAGCTGATCCCATCGCTGACTATAGGGGGCGAAACTCTGGCCCCCTCAGAGAAGGCACGCAACTTGGGAGTCCTCCTGGACACACGGCTGACATTGGAAGATCACTTGTCGGCCGTGACCAGGGGGGCGTTTTATCAGGTTCGCCTGATACACCAGTTGCGACCTTTTCTGGACCGGGACGCCTTGCGCACAGTCACTCATGCTCTCGTCACCTCCCGCCTGGACTACTGTAATGCTCTCTACATGGGGCTCCCCTTGAGGAGCATCCGGAGGCTCCAGCT